GTTCGCATTTACCTACATGTTCTGTAGTTAACCAGTTCAGATGATATTGACAAAATGGGAACAGACGTATCTTATTCAAAATTAGTAATATGACGTATATTGCTATCATTGGTAGCACCAATTCTTTATTTGTAACAAAACAGACAAATAAATTTGTATGTTCATTCGTGAAAAAAATACCAGCGATTGCAACATCAATTATAGTTGGTTGGATGGTGGAGATTTGATGAATACGAACATGCATAGAAAGCGCATAATGATCATCCTGGTTGAGATTGTTATAAAGTTCTAGTTAACTAACATAACATTTGTTTGGGTATCAAGTTAGCTTTGCTTTACTATAGAGCAGATAATCATCATTCAAAAGTTGTACCAATCTTACCTCCTGTAGTATATTACGTGTGCTGGATTGTCCCTGTTCCCCAGTATCACCCCATCCTATAACAGTACCGTATGTGTTTGGTTGAAGCAACTGTTTAGCTTTTTCTACTGACGGCAGGCACACTACAATTATAAAAAAACATATGTAACATTATCACATTGAACTTTCCTTAGTGTTATAAATACATATCCATATATTAGAGAGGTGAGTAGTAAGTTTGACAAGAATGGATGACAAATTAATAAATGAGCAATGATAGCTGTTATATACATGTATATTTATCAATTGCAGTAATAGTATGAATTGATGCTGTGATAATGTTTTAAGAGAGTAAGTCTTGGTTAAAATATCCATATTAGAATGAACGCTTTTGAAACTTAGGCTGATGCGTTGCGTCCTATCCTTTCTATTGAATTCAATGCATATGTGTGGCTTAATTTAAATAGAAAATATCATAAAAAGCTTGAAGATATAAAATGTTATAAAAAGAATGTAATGTATCTGGGTTCCGAATATATCTGGTTGAATGTGGTTTGAACTATGGTGGCGTTTTATTTCCCCCTAAAATTTTGCGTACAAAAAAACATTTTCTTTCACTTTTCTTGATGTCGACGTGGGTAGTTTATTTTTGGTTGCTCCTTGTTTTTTGGGAATTGGCGAGAACGATAATCGTTTATTCTAAATTCCCTATTCGTACTCTGTTTGCGATATCAAGACAAAAGAAATTCGCTCTATCAAAAACAGGCCACGTGGTGAAGACTTGTTCGACATTCGGACCAGACTGGAATTAATCAGATATTTATTTAATAAGTAGACACCCATTATTCTTTTGCATTTAAAGCATATCCTTATAGAGTGAATTTATTTATTGCTGCATTGTGGAAAACTATATACAAAGCTATTTGGTCTGTTTATTTACAAGTACAGTAAATTAATATATCTTTTCCTAAACATTAGTGTAATTATTTTGGAAACATAGGCATTTTGTCGAACCCAGGCTTTGATTTGAAATCGTGACACTACTATACAAATTATGTGTTGTATTTGCTCAATATTCCGATATAGACAAACCCGGCAAACAGAAATTGTTTACTCTAAATTAATTTTAAATATTATTTGACCTGAAATATGAGTCGCACCACTACAATGAATGATCCTGCTTTAATATTCTACATTAATAGCCATTTAGTTGTCATTGCAACTCAATTCGCCAAGTGAACACATCATTTGAAACATCTTTACATCAACACATCATTTTAAACATATATATATATGTGACAAGATAACATTTTACTGTGTATTTACTATACCTGGCTTGATCGTTTCTGTGAAAACAACATGTTCCGTCAATCGAATAAGAGCGATGTCTGCATCATACACTGTTTTATTATAATCAGGATGCACAATAATTTCGTCCACAATAATTCCACTTTCAACTACAACTGCTTCATGTTTTCCGATGTATACCTGGAGCGTATTTTCGTTAACTTTTGACTTGTTAATGCAGTGTGCAGCAATCACAACCCAGTTTGATGTCAGCAAAGCGCCTCCACAAAATGGTTTGTTTGTTGTTATGTGATATAACATAGCCATCCAGGGCCACTCTCCTATTTCTGCGTCCTGTCCACCAATTCATTCTAGCTTTCGATAGTGCAATACCACATTCTCCTAAAAACAAGACACTGACAATTCAGTTACGGGTGTTGTGAACTATTTAAATTCCTTCTTCACGTATGCATATCACACATTTGTATTCTGCTATATGAAAATACATAACAAGCAAACAATTGACCAAGCCAACTCTGCTGTCTAATAGCAATATTGTGACACTGAATGGAGCCATCATAATGCATCTACAAAGATCAAGGAATTTGGTCAGAAGTTGTATAATTCCAATCATCAAATTACATTTATTTATTTATAAACAAAAATAAAGCCCGTGTGTTAAGAGTGTTGAACAAAAAATAGTAAATAATTTCAAGAAGAATTTCAACTAATAAATGTCAGTTATTCAGGATTCCCAACGTTCAAACAATGTGATTTACATTATTCACAAAGCTTTAGCTTTTGGGAAATATACAATTTCCTAAGGCTCTGCGTTACGGAAGTTATATATCAGTTGTTTTGAAAAAAGCTCCCCTAGATGGAAGACACCATCTGTTATTTATGGGGATGTTATTATATGCAGCTAACAGCATAGATACAAAGGGCGTTCAATAAGTAATGCGCCTGACCCATTTCCAATAGCAGGAGATTAATGAAACTTGGCACAGTCATTAGTCTTTCTCTGCATAGGAACCACCCAGAGTTATGCATTTCTCCCATCGTTTTATGCAGCAACACCCCATGTTGTTCCTCCAACCACGTCGTAACTTCAGAAATCAAGGCTGTGGTACCTTTTGACAGTAAATCTGTCATCACTACTCCGTCCTGGTCACAGAAGACTGTGAGCAAGATCTTGACAGCAGAGGGCTGCACCCTTGCCTTCTTTGGAGGTAGTGAGTCCCAGTGCTTCCACTGCATTACCTGGGCTTCTGTCTCTGGATCATAGTGATGGACCCAGTCTTATGAAAAAAATGACTTATTTTATTGGCACTTCTCTAAATTCATTCTTGAGCGTTATTGCTTCTGGAAAGATGTGAGCAACCTGGGATTCCATCTGGCAGATAGATACCATATGTATATGCAAATGTAATGGATGATAGTTTCCACAGACCCTATACTGATTTTGACCTCTTAGGCTATTTGGCGAACACTAATGTGTCGATCTTTCAAAATGGCTGCCTCAACTTTACGGACAGATGCCTCATCAATGGCAGAAGAGGGACGACCATGTCTGGGAGCTTTTTCCACAGACTTCAGGGCATGTTTGAATTCACGATGCCAGCGTTTTACAAGGTGGGGCATCATCACCATAAGTTTCTTTTATTTCATCAAAAGTCTCCTTTGGTTTGCGTCCTTTCAAATACAAAAAAAATGATCACTGGGCGACACTCAACTGGCTCAATTTCACAGCTGAAACAGTTCAAACACCTGTAAATCAGAGCTGTTTTTTGCAACGTAACCTATAGAGACGTAAATCATTACACATGCAAAATTTCATCTGGATCATAGAACTGGAAGAGGGTCAGGGACATTACTTATTGAACGCCCTTGTAGCATGAAAACGTGCAATCAGAGAGATTTTTATTTGTATGTATTTTTGAGGACGCAAAAGTATATTTAACGATTACAGATTTTTTTAAATCGCTCGCAAATATTTTCTAGCTGCACTTCCTTGATATCATTGACAAGTGATTTTTCAATTATCACGTGGCTGACCATCGTTAAGCCTGATGGAAGTGATGATATTGCAGGGCTCATACCTCTAATTGAATTTCCGTAGACAACAATGTTAACATATGACGAGATTGAAAATGATGAACAAAGTTGAAAACATGGCTCAAAAATGAGAATTCAACATGTCAGTAATCAATCACATGAAAAAAAAAACATGTTGGCCAGCTCGAACTCTTATAAATTGCAGGTAAACAAGACACACTATATTTGGATTGCACCTAGAGAAATCACTGGAAAAACACCAAGATTAGAACATCCAAATACACACAGAATAAATCCAGGTACACAGCCGCTAAGTAGTAAACAAAAGACCAGGTTATTACGCCCTCAAACAGAGAGCACGTGAGAAAAAAAATATTTTAAAAATTTCATTGGTTCTTGCAAGGCATTTAAATTGATGCATACAATGCATTTTTGAAATGCGTTCACTTGGAGCACCATATCTTTCATGGTGAGTTATCTAATTTTCCAATATTGGTTGGTTTCTGTATGATTGTGTTTTGTAAAATTGCACTGATGGTGTAATCCTTTTGGTGTTTTTTTTATGATGCGTCATCTGATAGTTTGGCGATGACTAGCATTTTGAACGTCTCACTTCATAAACGCAGGAAACCGTGGCAAAAACAGGCACACTTTCGTTTTAGTGATGTATTTCGTTCATAGGGACCACTTTTTACTGGTAATTATGTTTATCTGGGTGAGTGGAAACGGACGCCATGCAGTGACAATCATCATTGGTTTTAGCTTCAGTTGACGAACCCTGCTGATCGTTTCCTCTATGTATTGTTTCGATTTATACATAGCATAACATAATTATTTCTTAAATAGTTGTTATTAATTTATCACATTCAAAATGCAACTGCATTTTGCAGGGTTTTTTAGTGACCTACTTATCAGGTGACTTCTAATATCCAATGAATGGCGGAGATGTTTCTCTGGAGTGCTTTGAATTAAGAAAAGGTTTTGTGGTTCATTAAAACAAACAATAACAGTTTCATGATATCTCAACGGGCGGTTCATTAGTAACTCTATAAATAATATCAAATAAACAGCATGGAAAACATTACAGGGGAACAATTAAATGAGAGGATGAATGGTCACTGTTTTGAAATTAATCATTGCGATAATCAGCTGATCTATCAGCATTTTAACCAACAAGATCATTTCATTCTCTCCAAAAAAGTTCGCATTATTGAGAAAATATATCCTGCAATGAACATTCTTCAGTTGTGTACACATTTCCACAGAGGTAGAGAAGATTTTTAGATTCGAGTGTTAGGTACTGCCGCACCTTATGGGTGCAATGAAAGATCGACAGTGTAAGTAGTATTATTAGTCCTGGTTGTAGTTCAGTCAATGTAATGGATATCTTCCACAAGTCACCGAGAAGGAGAAGCCATGTACACCCCTGCTGAACACATTATTATTACTGGAGACCTTGGCATAGTCAAGAATGTTAGACTTAGACTTTTGGCGAAAGGTCTTAAATATCGACTCGCTCAGTCAATAAAATGGAATTGTAATTTTATTTCTATTTTGGATTCAGTTGAGGACTTTGCTAGACAATGGGCTAGGCGTGAGGATGTTGAGCTTGAAAATGGTTGAATGCTGTTCCTTTAGAACTACAAAAGCGAATCACAAAGCTCAATAAAACTATGAAAATGAATGCCAGGATCACTTTCAAAGATTCCAGTGTTGCTGTTGATTTTCACACCCTTCACAATAAATATATTGCTGTTCCTGCCGACAAAGCCCCTAATAACATTGAATTTGTCTGTAAAAATTATTATATCGACTGCTTGCTAAAGAACGTGGTATATGTGACAAAGGTGGATACCCAACATATACAATCACTGCACTGTCCGAAGAGAATACATTACTAAATTATAGGTCAGTTCTCTTGTCCTTTGGTATTGATATAAAGGATGACGAACTCGACTTGCCAATTCTCTACTGGACACCTTATGAACATAGATATATTGCTGGGTCTTCTAGGTGTTCCACCAAACCACTTTCTAAGCTATTAACAACACTACTTACTGCAGTCAAGGAAATAAGATTTATACACATGCTGATGTGGATTTTGAAAGACTGAAAAAGAGTTCTCGTTCTCTCAGTAATTTCCATAATAAACACACATATGATTTTTCCACGCTTTATACCAATATACCACATTCCCAACTTTAAGCAGGCTTTAAGGTTAAATTTGTTCAATGTTTCTTTTACAAAAATGGCAGACGTCCATATTTAGTTTTGAATCGTATATCTTGGTACTTTGTTCAAAATCATGCAGATTCAAGACGGAAGTATACTTAAGACCATTTAGTGAAAATGATTAATTTTCTCATTGACAACATATTTGTTCTTTGTGGTGGGCATGTTTTTCAGCAAACTGTTGGTATTCTTATGGGCACTAATTGCGCCCTTTGCTTGCCGATTTGTTTTTGTATTCTTATGAAGCGGAATTCATTGAAGGTTTAATGAAAAATGGAACCAAGAAACTGGCTTGTTCCTTTAATTTCGTTATATTGATGATGTTCTGTCACTGCACAATCCTTAGTTCAGTAGATATTTACATGCTATTTATCCTAATGAACTTCAAATTAAGGATACTACTGACACACTGAATTATGCTTCATAATTTGATCAACTACTCGAATTTGACAGTAGTGGAACACTTTTTTGCTAATGTGAACTTAAGGAGTTCATATTTCACAGCTTGTGCGTTACTCGGAAACATGTTCTAGGTATTCAGTTTTCCTCACCAGATTTCGGCTATTGACTGCCAAGTTGATCCAAGGGTTTCTGATTCCTCAACTTAAAAGTGCATTTAAGAAGTTTTTTGGCCACTATCATGATTTGGTGGTTTCCTATGGGATTTCTGTCTGTAACATGATTGCAGATTTGTTTGTTGATTGATGTATGTGGTCTTGTTTGTTTCTGTGACTTGGTGTGGTTGTTTGTCCTTCACGTGCACCTGGTCTGACTCCCTTGTTGGGGTTTGTGATGTTCTGCTTCCATCGATTTTGTCAGTATATTTTTTCTAGACTACTGAATGGTTTATTTGTACTGCTGTAATTGTCAAATAAGCATGTACTGCGTGCGTGACTCGTATCAACGTTCGTGTATGGCACCTAATCATCTAGCCTCACGTCACGAAACTCTGGGTGGTGCGATGGAAGAAAAACTGAGCACAATTTATGTTTTTCCTTCCACAATTTGTTATTGATTAACAACTTGCTGTAAGTTGTTTT